TTTTGCATTTGCTAGTATTTTAAAGTTTTCATTTTGCATTGTAGTCTTCAGCATTATGAAGTTTTTTTGTTTTCAGTGATTTTTGCCCTGTATTCTGTCTAGTCTGATATGATTCAGATTCTTATTTTTATTTGTATTACATTTTTTAGTATACTTCGCCCATTCTTTTATTTTTAATCTATCTGAATTTGTTTTAGGTATGTCTCTAATCTAAAGCTTAGAGATGGATTTTGCTTTTATAAGCCAATCTGAAAATCATTTTCTTTTTAATTAGGTGAGTTGCATCTGTGCCCATTTATTGATAAACATGCTACATTTGGGCTTGTTTCTGTCACATAACTTTCAAATGTCTGCTGTGTGTGTATACAACCTTTTCCTATGTTGTTCCGTTTTCTTTTTGTCCTCCTCCTTTTTGGTATTTTGGAAGGTTTGATTTCCATTCTAGTTGTTATCTTCCTTTAATCAAAGATATATATACTATATTGTAATTATATATATCTTAGCCTTTCTTTAGATACTGCCATTGTTTCCTGCCATAAGCAATACTAAACTTACCTGGTTACTGTTTTTCTCGTATCATTTGGTTTTAGTCAGACTGTTATTTCAAAGTTAATCTCTATGCTTTTAGATATATTTAGTTTATACTAGTTGAGTTGTGTGCCTCAAGTTATAGTCCTTTACTTCCCATTAGTATTTAAGAAGTTTGTGAATTCAATTTCATTTTCTCTTGTATTTTGTGTGTATTATTTTTATATTCCTAAAGCTTATAACATTTGAATAATTGTTTTGTCAGCTTTATCCCTATTAAAAAAATAGACTTTCTTCCTAGGAACATCGCCAAAGGCAAGGGAAGCAAGGGCAAAAATGAACTATTGGGATTTCATCAAGATCAAAAGCTTTTGCACAGCAAAGGAAACAGTTAACAAAACCAAAAGACAACTGACAGAATGGGAGAAGATATTTGCAAATGACATATCGGATAAAGGGCTAGTGTCCAGAATCTATAAAGAACTTAGCAAACTCAACACCCAAAGAACAAATAATCCAATCAAGAAATGGGCAGAAGACATGAACAGACATTTCTGCAAAGAAGACATCCAGATGGCCAACAGACACATGAAAAAGTGCTCCACATCACTCGGCATCAGGGAAATACAAATCAAAACCACAATGAGATACCACCTCACACCAGTCAGAATGGCTAAAATTAAAAAGTCAGGAGATGACAGATGCTGGCGAGGATGCGGAGAAAGGGGAACCCTCCTACACTGTTGGTGGGAATGCAGGCTGGTGCAGCCACTCTGGAAAACAGCATGGAGGTTCCTCAAAATGTTGAAAATAGAGCTACCCTATGACCCAGCAATTGCACTGCTGGGTATTTACCCTAAAGATACAAACGTAGTGATCCAAAGGGGCACGTGCACCCGAATGTTTATAGCAGCAATGTCTACAATAGCCAAACTATGGAAAGAACCTAGATGTCCATCAACAGACGAATGGATAAAGAAGATGTGGTATATATACACAATGGAATACTATGCAGCCATCAAAAGAAATGAAATCTTGCCTTTTGCGACGACATGGATGGAACTAGAGGGTATCATGCTTAGCGAAATAAGTCAATCGGAGAAAGACAACTATCATATGATCTCCCTGATATGAGGGAGAGGAGATGCAACATGGGGGGTTAAGGGGGTAGGAGAAGAGTAAATGAAACAAGATGGGATTGGGAGGGAGACAAACCATAAGTGACTCTTAATCTCACAAAACAAACTGAGGGTTAATGGGGGGGTGTGGGGGGTGGGATTATGGACATTGGGGAGGGTATGTGCTATGGTGAGTGCTGTGAAGTGTGTAAACCTGGAGATTCACAGACCTGTACCCCTGGGGATAAAAAGATAATATATGTTTATGAAAAATAAAATTTAAAAAAAAAAAAAAAAAAAATAGACTTTATTTTTTAGAGCAGTTTTAAGTTCGTAGTTAAATTGAGAGGGTGGTACAGAGTTCTCATTCACTCTGTCCCTGCACTAACATAGCCTCTCAACACTATGAATGGTACATTTATTATAATTCATGACCCCTAGATTGGCGTATCATTATCCCAGAGTCCAGAGTTTATATTAAGGTTCCCTTTGTTGTATGTTCTACTGATTTTGACAAGTCTATAATGACATGTATCAACCATTGTAGCTTTATCCAGAATAGTTTCACTGCCCTAAAAATCCTCTGTTCTCTATTTATTCCTCCCCACTTACTAAATGCTAACATCCACTGACCTCTTTTTATGGTTTCCATGCTTTTACCTTCTCCAGAATGTCATATAGTTGGAATCCTACAGGATGTAACCTTTTCAGATTGGATTCTTTTATTTAATAATATGCATTTATTTTCCCCCATGTCTTTTCATGACTTGTTAGCTTATTTCCTTTTAATACAGAGTAATATTCCATCGTCTGTATGTACCAGAGTTTATTCATTCACCTGCTAAAGGACATTTTGGTTATTTCCAAGTTTTGGCAATTATGAATGTATAAACATCTGTGTTCAGGTTTTTGTGTAGGCATAAGTTTTGAGCACCTTTGGGTAAATAGTAAGGAGTGTGATTGTTGAATCATATGGTAAGAGTATGTTTAGTTTGATTAAAAAACGACCAGACTGTCTTTTAAAATAGCTATGCCACTTTGCATTCCCAGTAGCAATTATGAGAGTTCCTTTTGCTTCCCATTCTTGTCAGCATTTGGTGTCGTCGGTCTTCTGGATTTTGGTCATTCTAATCGGTGTATATCATTGTTTTAATTTGCATTTCCCTGATAACATATAATATGAAATATTTTTTCACTGCGTATTTCTTCTCTGTACCTTCTTTTTTGAAATGTCTGTTCAGATCTTTTGCCCATCTTTCAGTAAGGTTGTTTGTTTTCTTACTGTTGAGTTTTAAGAATTTGTATATTTCTTATAATAGTCCTTTATCAGATACTCTTTTGCAAATATTTTCTCCAGTCTGTGCCTTGTCTTTTCATTCCCTTGATGTGCCCATCTTTTAGTTGTAGTTCTATAGTGAAATATATTTGCTTCTCACCCCCAGTCCTTAGTGTTAAAGCTCCTCCAGGGGCGCCTGGGTGGCTCAGTGGGTTAAAGCCTCTGCTTTCGGCTCAGGTCATGATCCCAGGGTCGTGGGATCGAGCCCCACATCGGGCTCTCTGCTCAGCGGGGAGCCTGCTTCCTCCTCTCTCTCTGCCTGCTTCTCTGCCTACTTGTGATCTCTGTCAAATAAATAAATAAAATCTTTAAAAAAAAAAAAAAGCTCCTCCAGCTTCTTCTGGATTATGTGAATTTCTGTTCTTTACTCGATCCCTGAATCATGCTTATATGAGAGATATTCTCTAAAGTTGTATAAGTTTATAATTCTTTGTCTCTGGTCTTATACTTGAAGGACATTTTGGCTAGATATCAAATCCTCATTTCACATTTTTTCCTTGAGTATCTTCAAAATGTTATTCTGTTGTTTTCTAGCATAAAATGCTATTGACATTTAATACCAATCTGATTGTCTTTACTAATAAAAGTGACCTGGCTTTACCTCTAACTTTTTTTTTATTATGTTAGCCTCACATATTTGTGTTTGTTTTCCATATTTAAATGGGTTGGATTTCCCTGGACTGTTAGGAGGAGGCTCCTGTGAAGGAGTAGGATAGACAAGAAGCTTTCTCAGTTTTATGTTTAAGAGCTTTCCCTTCCATTGTTACTGTCTTATCTTTGTAGCCTCTTCTGTCTCTCTGGGGTAAACCTCATTCAAGAAGGGTTTCTCCTCTAGCCCTGTGTCTCTACAAACTTTACAGATATAACATTATGTCTAGAGATGATATTTCTAGAAACAGAAGAAAAATACTTTTCTACTACCTTCTGTGATCTGTTTGCTTTGGAACCTTGCCACCCTCTTTCTCCTTTTTTTTGTCTGAGCCTTTTCTCTGCCAGTCTCCATTATTCCTGTCTTGCAATTTGGTTTCAGATTTCATGAGTTTTTCCTTTGGGGTGGGCCGTGTCCTCAAGGTTCTCTTTGCTGGATGCTTTGCAGTTCCCTGAGAGTTGAGGGCTTTACAGTACTGTTTGCTGCTTCAGGACTGCAAATAGGGTTTCGTACTCCACCTGCAGCTTGGAGCTTGTGGAAACCTTTTCCTTTTTCTCCATTTGTTCTCATATTTGTTCTCCCAGTTTCCATTAGGGTCAAGTCCTCTCTTTTGGGGTATATGTAATAATTTTTGGATCCTGAGGCTTCACAGGATACCTCTATAATCCTTTCTGCTTCCTGCTGTCCCTTCCACATGGTAGCTGACTCTGCCATGTTGGCAGTGTAGCCACGTTCTCTCACAGTCTAAGATATTGCATGTTATTTACATCTTAAAAGATATTTTTAAAGCATCTACTTGATACCTTTTGAGAAGTCATAGAAATGAGGGTGTGATCTTGTCGTTTACATTCTTCTTAGTTTTAAGTACAAATATGTATCATTTGCTTCTGGTTGCAGTACTAAATGGGTATAGTCTCCTAATGGAAATTTTAGACTAATTGCCATATGGTACTTAAAGTTATCTGTAAGTGAACAAATTTTAAAGTAAATATGAAAAAAACCCACTGAATTTTTATTGAAATGGATAAATGGAATTACATTCCTTTCTGGATAGAAATAAGTATGTTCAGAGAAAAGGGAAAAAAGAATGAAGTCATTTAATTGTTTATTTTCACATGTAATATGTAATCATAACTTTGGATGTCTCATGAAAGAAACATGAAAATTTAATATGTGAGTTAGAATTATTTATAATTTTAGATTTGCCTGATTGTCTTCCATATAGCAAGTGCTAAATAAACATTTTCAGTGTGAACATTGTAGGAGGGGACTATTAATATATTGTAATTTTATTAGTAAAGATTATATAGTCTGCTGAATCTAACTTCAAACTATGGAAATTCAAAATAAAATGATCGATTTCTCATAGGAACTGAAGTTAAAAGATGAAGAGTGTGAGAGGCTTTCTAAAGTACGAGATCAACTTGGACAGGAATTGGAGGAACTCACAGCTAGTCTGTTTGAGGTTGGTCTATTTACGTCTTGGCCAAGAGCAACATCTTGATTTTTATATATTGATAGAATTGTTTTTTGAGGGCGTCTTGGAAAAGATATGCTTAGCTTCACACATAATTTATACGTCATCTAAGAAAAATTTAATCTTCAAGAAATGTAGAGTCTACAACTTAAAATGATGGGAAAACGAAAAGATTCTGTGGGCTACCAATATCAGGTTGTTTAAAAAATGTCTATGTAGAAAGAAAGGAGGTAAATTTTAATTTTGTTTTTATCAAGTATTTAGGGGCTGCTTTAGGGTAATCTTATAATATGACTTACAACCAAAATAGCAAGCCCTGAGGTAGCTTTCTGATAGATGATGGTTTGAGGATTGTTAGAAGGCCCACCTGTTTATCTCCAGGCTGCCAACAGGACCACAATTTCTGCTCAACTCAAGCATGTTTCTCAAGTGGGGTGCCATTGACATTGTCATTTTGCATTTTTAGTGTATTAATCAAGGTTCTCCAGAGAAATAAAACCAGTAAGATGTGTATATATACATATACTGTATATAAAAAGAGATTGATAATAAGGAATGAGCACAGGTGATTATGGAGGCTGGCTATTCCCAGGATCTGCGGGGTGAGTTAGCAGGCTGGAGACCCAGGAGAGCTGATGATGTAGTTGTGGTCCAAGTCCATAGGCCCGAGAACTGGAGAACCGATGATGCAGTTCTAGTCCCAAGGCTTACAGGCTTGGGACCCAACAAGAGCTGATGTTTCTCACTTGGAGTTTGAAGGTAGAAAAATTCGCTAGTACTCCAGGGGCTCAGCCTTTTTGTTCTGGTTAAGTTGTCAGCTGATTGCATGAGGCCCAGCCACATTATGGAGAGAGAACAATCTGCCTTAGTTAACCTACCAATTCAAATGTTAATCTCATCCAGAAACACCTTCATAGAAATACCCAGAATAATGTTTGACCAAATACCTGGGCATCCAGTGGCCTTGTCAGGTTGACACATAATATTAACCATCATACTTGGCTTTGGCCCCAAAATGCTAGTCATACTGCTTGATCATTTTGGCAGCTTTTGCAAGTTGTAAACTTGGATGGGAAGAGGACAGTACTTCATTTGATTAAGAACCACTGTTATAGAATGCCACTTTTGGGTTAAGACCTTGAGCATTTAAAAGTGCCTTATTTAGGGGTGCCTGGCTGGCTTAGTTGGTAGAGCATGCGACTCTTGGGGTTCATGAACTTGAGCCCCATGCTGGGTAAAGAGCTTACTTAAAAAAAAAAAAAAAACAAAACCAAAAATGGTTCCTTATTCAGAAAGGTTGGTGTGTTACTGGAATGACTAATGTCATTATCATTGTTAATTCGGGTGTCTGCTGGCTCATTCAGTAAAGCATGTTACTCTTGACCTGAGGGTTGTATAAGTTGAGCCCCCTGTTGGGTATAGAGATTACTTAAATAAAATCTTAAAAAGATAATAGTACTAATTTATTTTTTTCATCTAAAAATTTGTTTTTAAAAGTTCGAGTGTAGTTACAAATTTTAGAAAAATTTTAAAATTTTTCCCCTTATGTTATTTTTATTTATACAACATCTATTTCAGTTTTAGAAGTATGCATAATTTCTTACATAATTTTAATCCTAATATATTTTGTATTTTTTTCCTCAAATAACATGTTTTCATATTAACTTACATGGTCATTGTCATGAGAGTCCTAACCCACCAATTGCATATTCCACCATTTCTATCATTACAAGTAACATTGTAAACAAGTTACATGTGGGTTTCTTCAGATGTGGATTTTCCATGCTCCCTCTGCTCCATGCCCCTTTGCCCTGTGTTCTTTTTTGGGGGTCATTTTTTTTCATGAACTGATTTATTATTTTTTGTTAGCTAGTCATCAAAGACTAGAGGATAAGAGCTGTATGACTTACTGATTTTTGTTTGTAGAAGTAGTAGAAACCTTAGACTTTTTCTTCCAGCGTTGTCTGGCCGGAAGAGAATTTTGTAATGATATATGGATACTAGAAGGAAGCAAATATACTAAGCTTCTCACCTGCCCACCAATAATTTTAGCCCTGCTTAGTTCCTCTTGTCTGCACTTGCACGTATATTCTGCTAGGTGAAGTAGGAAGAAAGGAAATGAGAGGAAACTTCTCCCTCTCCATAGCAGAATGTGAAGGACCAGAAACGCAGTTTTTGCAATAAGTTAAAATGTATATCTTAAAAAAAAGTTTTGGAACTCCTGATCTTTCTCTGACCTGACAATGGCTAATAGCCTTGACACCGTATATATTTTCTGAGAAAGAAGTTATACTGACAAAAGATGATTTCAGTAATGAAGAAAATTGTATTCAGACCAGTTATTTATGAATTTTGTAAAAAGATGCTAGAAGCTTTTCTGTGGTCTATTTATAATTAATTTTGTAGCAAAGTTGGGTCTTAAAATATCAAATACAAGAAATATAAAATTTTATGTATGTTTGTATGTATATATATTCCCACCTAGTGTCTCAGATTTTGAGATAATATAAAAATGAAGTAGGAAGAATGCTTTACAAAGTAGTTGTAAAAGAATGTGACAGAATGCTCTACAAAGTAGTTTCATTTGACATGGAAAAAAAAAGGTAGCCTTAGATTTTTTTCTTTTACATTTTGTCAGCCAGTTTTAGTAAATGTCTATGATATGCCGAGTTTTCTCTTTATAATGCTATGAGACATATAGAACAAATTGCTCATTTTATCTGTGAAGACAGTGAGGCATAGAAGATTAAGGAGCAATGTTGGGATTCAAATTCATAACCCTGACTCTTGCTTTAAGTACTGTGAAATCATAAGTGGTACTTTGTCTCAGGCCACAGAAAAGGAGTCCTCATTGAGGCCTTTCCTTTATCCCACATTCACAAGGAAAATCTTGTGACACTAACTCTGGAATGTAAGGCAGATGCATCTGCCTTTTTACTATGAAACTGCTAATATCACTTTACAAGCCATCATTATTTCTTACTTAGACCAAGAGATGCCAAACTTCTGTTGAGATCATGTACCTCCATCTGTAAAAGAAAAATTTAAGCATGTACCTTTATTATGATGAAAATAAGTAATATTTATTGAGGGTTACCTATGTGGTAGGCACTGTTTTAAGAGCATATATACTTACAAGTTACATATATACACTAATATAATGTGTTATATAATTATAAAATAACAGTTTTAAAAAGCAAGTCAATAATAAATACTAAGTTTTTTATTATAGTACAGAAATATTTTAGTCTCACTAAAATATATTGTGTGTATGTGTATATTCAGTGAAAGGAGTATGATTGAATATGTTACCACCTTGTTTTCGAAAATCTTGTTTTAACAATTTATGATTCAGGTGAAGTTCTGGTCTAAATTCCTTTTTTTAAATTAGATGTAATGCGGCTGATAACTCACAAACATATGGATCCAAATGGAAGAAGTACATCTTTCCCTGTATGAAACCATTATACTGAATTTTCATTTCCATTGCTGGTTATGTGAAGGTTTCTCCAGAATATTCTCTAGTGAATTTGTCTTCTCTCATACCAACAAATTGTCTTTGCAAATTAATCAGAAGATGTTGAGTTTAAACATTATTTTAAAGAAAGAAAGAAGAAAAACACCTTCATTTGAATCCCTGCTAACCAGATAGGAAGCAAATTCCGTTTTCAAAGTCTGTAAGTCGTATAGACGTAAATGTTTGTATTAGAGGTCTGCACACTACAGCCTATAGGGCAGAACTAGCCTGTGCCTGTGTTTGTGCAGCCTTCTGAGCTAACTGGTTTTTACATTAAGTAAGTGGTTAGGGCCAGAAAAACCCAAGAGGACTTTGTGATGTGAAAACTGGGATTCAGATTTCAGTGCTGATGAATGTTTATGGAAATGGCCGCCTTCGCTGCTGTTTGTTGTCTGCGGCTGCTTTCACCCTGCAGCGGACGAGGCCTGGCTTCTCGAGCCCAAGCTGCTTACTGTCTGACCCTTCCCAGAAGTTTACAGACTCCGGGTATAGAGGGTACTTGGATCATTTTCACCTTTAGAATTACAGAGTGGTAGACAATTTTCACTTTTTTGGAATCTACTATTTGATGTCTTTTGTCAGTTTGCCAAGTCTGGTGCGTTATCTTTTCAGCTACTGCTTCTGCCTCACTTCTAGTGCTCTCTTCTCTCCTCTTGTGACTCAGTTACATGTAGCTTACACCTCTTCACTGTGTCTCTCGTACCTCGGGGGGAAAAGTCGCCCCAAATTCCGTCTCTCTTTTCTGGGTTTACATCTTCTCCTGAGTCTTGGTCCCCTAGTTCTTCACCATTTTGTTAGCTCTCTAATACCGTCAGACACATTTAAAAAAAAAAAAGTCCAACTTCTGTAATTATTGTCCATGTGAGGGTTGGTCCAAGATGCACAGTCCTCTATTAAGGAAAGCAGAGTCCATTTCCAAACATTTAAACAGATAATCTCTCCTTAGCATGAGTTGCTTTTGCATTTATAGTTAAAATGTTTTACTTATCCTGAAGGGGGTCAGATTAGATATGTTTATTATTTTGAAAATATCTGCCAAATAGTGATCTGTTGACAGCCACTTGTCATCACAGAAAAATTAAGCAAATCTGAAACATTTGTTATTTTAAGAATAAAACCACTTTTACTTCATTAAATTGGCAGCTCTTAAGGACTTTGATACAAGATAACCAGCATAATTGTGCATGGGAGATTTTCATAGTTAATCTTATCTCATTATAAAACATTGATAGTAAAACATCTCTTACTTAAGCTAATGTGATCGGTAAAGTCATGTTCATGGGCATATAAAGAAGCATCAGTTCATTACTACTGTAGAAGCAAATGGGAGTGCTGCTGTCAGACTCTGAAGTGGAGAATGTTCACTCTTCCACTGAATAGTTGACAAACATTACTATGTGCCATTGTCAAACATATATTAAATGTCTTTGAAGCTGATTTCTTTCCTTCCTTCCAGCCAACTTCCTTCCTTCCTCCCTCCCTCCTTCTTTCTCTTCTGTCTCATAAACTGTCAGTTGAAGTTCTAACATACATGTTCTTAAATCCCAGGGGATTATCTCAAGCACCCTGTATATGGTTCTAGTCCATCCTTAATCTTTAATGAGACTATTCCATACAGCAGAGTAATTTTTTTTAAAATATAGGTAAGATCAGTGACTTTCTTCCTTAAAAGATCATAAGGTTTCATACTGCCCTTACAGTAAAACCCAGAATTCTTACTTGGATATTTTATTGATTATTAGAATGTAAACTGAATGTAAGCTCCTTAAGAGACAGGGACCTTGTTTTTTCCCCCAATATACTATCAACACCTGGAATAGTACCTCACAAAGAGATGTCGTGAGTAAATTGATGAATAAATATAAGAAAAAAAGGAATTAAATACCTAGAGTTTCATATTTATGGTACTGAAAAAAATAAGACCTTATTAATATCTAATCTCTGATTTGCCTTTTTAGATTGCTCTGCATAGAATTGTCACTTAATATCATTTTGTGACTGTTTTTATTGGAAGCTCAAAGGGTTCTCAGCTGTCATTCCTATAAACTGCAACATTAGTGATGTGTTAATATTTTTACTTGTCCCTTCTATATGTCTTTGCTATGACTAATAATATATATATATATATATATATATATATATATATATATAGTGGCCAAATTACAGAAACCTAACTACGGAGAAGTTGGGTTTGACATGTAGGATGTTTATTTTCCTTCATCACATTTGCAGTCTTTACACAAACATTAATCAGGGTGATTGAACTCAACTTGGCTATGTCAGTGGTATTAGTACTAAAAGAAAGTATGTATTCCTAATTCCTACCAGTTTACCTACCAGATGATATTTGCTATTTCAAGAGTTGATATTGAGTATTTATTATCAGGTTAAAGTTTGGTAGTATATCTTTGCTACAGTCGTAGACATTTGCTGAAAAATTTTTGAAAACAAAGGCTACTTTGTTTCCAAAATTTGAGATTTTAACTTTTTCAGGAAGCTCATAAGATGGTGAGAGAAGCAAATGTCAAGCAGGCAACAGCAGAAAAACAGCTAAAGGAAGCACAAGGAAAAGTAAGTCTTTGCTACTTTAACAGTAAAAAAAATATAAAATCAGTGATTACTGGTTTTTGTTTTTTTTTAATTTTTTTTTTTTTAGTGATTACTGTTATAAAGATACTTAAACATTTATTAGATTTTGTTTCTATTGTAAATTAGGGCCTTATTTTAGAAGATTTGGAAACTATAAGTAGAAAACAGCTACCACACAGATGCAATTAATAGTGAACAGTCAGTGCTCATTTATATTAGAACCAAAGGATTTTAAGTCTTGTGAATCACATGTATTATCAAAAGGATCATAAATCACATTTTATTGATTTATTTATTTAAAATATTTTATTTATTTGCCAGAGAGAGAGAGAGTACACACAAGCAGGCAGAGAGGCAGGCAGAGGCAGTGAGAGAAGCAGACTCCCCGCCGAGCAAGGAGCCCAATGCGGGACTTGATCCCAGGATTCCGGGATCATGACTTGAGCCGAAGGCAGCGGCTTAACCAACTGAGCCACCCAGGCATCCCTTTAAATCACATTTTAAAGTCACTATTTTTCTTCATTAGCTGGAAAAAAAGCCACAAAACTGTTAATAGATTTTATTATTTTAGGAATGAACCACAGCTCTTCATAAGCTATTTATATTTTGAACATTTTGAAAATTCACATGAATTAAATATTAGACATTTTGATAATTTTAAAAATTTCATTTCATGTTGTGAAATGCAAGCATGGCTAAATGCAAACCATATAGAAACATTAAACAACTTGGTTTCACTTTCTTTTTATTACTCCACCACAAATATACATTAAATTTACATGTCCTCTTTGAAAGGAAAGTGTTTTGAGCAGATAGCTAGCATTTAGCTGCATCTGTCATAAGACATAGTGTATGGAACTATGTTGATTTCTTTTCAAGATCGATGTCCTTCAAGCTGAAGTAGCCGCATTGAAGACACTTGTCTTGTCCAGTTCTCCAACATCACCTACGCAAGAGCCTCTGCCAGGTGGAAAGACACCTTTTAAAAGGGGGCATACAAGAAATAAGAGTACGAGCAGTGCTATGAGTGGCAGTCATCAGGACCTCAGTGTGATACAGCCAATTGTAAAAGACTGCAAAGAGGTAACTCGTCGAGGACTGTCCCCTCTGACTCTCTTGATACTTATTAATTCTCACCACTGAGCTGTCAGTTATGATTTTTGCCAGCAAAATTTTTTAGTACAAAATATGCAGTATTAAGATGGGGGAGGCTTTATCTAGAGCTGGCTGCTTTCAGGGAATCTTCAGTTCCATTCTCTACTTGGCTGACCTTGGAGTTACCTGCTAGAAACTTGGTAAGTTTCTTAATCTTGATACTTAATTTAGGGAGCAAACTGTCATGTGTTGTATAAAGGAGAGGGGGGTGGCTTTAATGATCTGGCTAGTCAAAATTTGTTGGTAAGATGCTTTAGCAGAATATGAATATAAGAAATGTGTGAAAATAAGGTGATTTTCTTGAACAGCACATTGCTTTTACTTAAATTCTGGGGGAGGTAGAGTTTTATATCAATAAGAGAGTCTTAGAGTTAATTCAAATAAAAAACAGAACTAATGGTAGCCTTATCATTTTAAAATATGTTGTGAAGGTAACTGAGATACTGTGGAAATATTTTGAGCTGTTTTGAGTAAAAATTGTATAATTATAAAATGTTTTTTTTATTTTATCATTGCATACAATGAGAAAGCATTTCCAATGGGATTGATCATGGAGCAGCCCCTCCCTCTTTTTTCCCTGAAAAGCTATGTTTTACGTTGTTTTATTCAGGTTCATCGTTAGTCTTTAAGCAGCTGTATCTGCTCATTTGGTTAAGTTTTTGCATGGAAGCCAGGATTTTATTAAATTGAATAACCGAGGTCATTACGTACTTTCATTGAATTGCATTTTGGTTGCTTATTAATAAAAAAGATGCTAGTGAGAGAGACGTTCAATACGTGACCAAATCTGAATGTGATGGAATCAAAAATCCATGTTAAATATTTCAGAAACTTTTAAAAATCATAACTTTAATTTCTTTGAATTTAATTAGCATTTTTAATTGCTTGGTACAACTCATATTTTGCTGTGGTTTCTCAGTGTGATTAAAAACCTTGTTTTCTGTTACATACACTTACAAAATTTAAATGTTTTCTCATGGGACATTTTAAAGTCCTGTTTTTAATTTATGAGGTCTCATGAAATGTGAAGCAGCAGCAAACAACTTCAGAATGATAACTTTCTGTTTTCCAGATATATCTTGTATTCTAATGTTTTGTGAAAACTTGTCAAAAAGTTTTATTAGACAAAGGAAACACATAAAGTTGACCTGTATAAGCTTTAGACAAAGGTAAAACAGTTGGAAAGAAAGTGAACCATGTTCATGTTTCTGCAGAAAATGTGACAGGCAGAAACAGTATTTGCAACGTAGTTTCTGAAAGCACTTAAAACACATGTCTGTGCAAGTACACACACACGCATGCATTATGCAGGGCTTTGCGATTGAGTCACTTAGACACAAATTTGAACTTTTACAGGTTCCTTGATCTGTAACCTTGGGCAAGTTATTTACCTCTCTAAGCCCTAGTTTTCTTATCTAAAAAAAAAAATGAAGATCATAATGTCTGTCTTGCCCAGTTGTGAGGATTGAGTGTCTGTGGGGTGCTTGCCATAGTTCTTGGCGCAGGACCAGATCTTAATAGTTTAAGTGACTGCCTTTGAACTAGAATCTTTCCTTGGAGTACCACTTACCTGCTTGGGGGCTTATGTCCGTTAAAGGGTAAACTTTACAAAGAAAATGAATTTGGAAATTTAAGTATTATTTATATGCTGGTTTTTTTTTTTTAATCTTCTTGACTTTAGTTTTGATTCAAAGAATTTATGGATTGGAATGAAAAAAATTCACACTGAAGGTGCCATTATATGCTTTAAAAGAAAGCGTGTAGGAAAGCTTGGATATACTCAGCCTTTTATTACAGTTATATAAATCACCTTCATGTGCCATTAAGCTGTCCTGAAGGCCATAGCGGCCATCAGTGTGTCATTTATGGTGTGCCCAGCTCTTCTGGATGAGAGTGGCTTAGGGCTGCAGGAGGATGAGGGGCATTGCCGTGTTGGGCAGCCGAGGGCAGGTGTGGCTTGTGTGTGACAGGTAGGATTGAGCTGAGTAGAGGGCATCTGGAGGGAAGAATACTTGGGGAAGTTTTATTAAAGGGAGGAGGAGGAAAGAGGGACAACTGGAAGAGTGAATAGGAAGATGGGGGCCAACCTGGGTTAGTGCTGATAATTCAGACAGTTGCAATGCCAAAATATATCTTACTAAGTGTTATGTGTTGTTGTTTTTTTTAAGATTTTTTTAATTTACTTACTTGACAGACAGAGATCACTAGTAGGCAGAGAGGCAGGCAGAGAGAGAGAGGAGGAAGCAGGCTCCCTGCTGAGCGGAGAGCCCTATGCGAGGCTCCATCCCAGGACCCTGGGATCATGACCCGAGCCGAAGGCAGAGGCTTTAAGCCACTGAGCCACCCAGGCGCCCCTAAGTGTTATGTTTTAAAGATAGTTCCTTTAGGAGATTACAGATGTGCTGCTTTTAGTCTTGCTGTTTATGGAGTAAACATTTTCAAATTCTTTTGAAAATGCCCTCAGGTAAAGCGGAACAATTAGTGTCATTTTTGACCCAAACTAGTTTCACAATTTAGTCTCCATTTATTCATACACTGTTTAATTAACTTGGCTCCAGATGACTTTTTCAATATTTTCAGAAAAGACTTATGACTTGTTTTATATTCAGAGCAGTGTGCACATGTGTCTTAAGAGGAGCTCCAGCATTTCTGGGGGTTGGCCGGGAATCAAGGTAGCATCACTGGACACTGTTGTAGATCCATTGAAAAGAGCTAGTCAGTCGTTTGGGGTTTGGATTTTTTTTTTTTTTAAAGATTTTATTTATTTATTTGACAGACAGAGATCACAAGTAGGCAGAGAGGCAGGCAGAGAGAGAGAGAGGAGGAAGCAGGCTCCCCACTGAGCAGAGAGCCCAACGAGGGGCCTGATCCCAGGACCCTGAGATCACGACCCGAGCCGAAGGCAGAGGCTTTAACCCACTGAGCCACCCAGGTGCCCCAGGGTTTGGATTTTTTTAAAAAGAAAGCTGGTACCATGTATTATAACACATCAAGAATGATTCAATTCATTATTTTAAATGAATAAGATTTCTTCCTTGGTAATGTTTATATTAGATTTGTGTTTTATAAAGTGATTTATGTTTGTACCTTTAAAAAGATTATTTTGTGTTTTCTTCTGGTTTGTCAGGCTGACTTATCTCTGTATAATGAATTCAGATCTTGGAAGGATGATCCCACAATGGATAGATCGTGTCCTTTCTTAGACAAAATTTATCAGGAAGATATCTTTCCATGTTTAACATTCTCAAAAAGTGAGGTAATTTTTTTTTATTTTAATAGGAATGTGTTAGAGTAGTTCCTGTACCTTTTGTTAAATCATGTAAAAAATTTTCTCTTATGTGACTAAGTTATAATAACATGTCGTGTTTTATCCTTTTCTGCATTCCAAACAAAGATCATGATCATTTCTTGGCATTCAGTTACAGAGCATCTTTGCTTACATGAGCAGAGGGTCATTCCCAGTGAAGTATGTGTTTTACCAGAGTAAAGCAGTAAATGTGCGCAGGGGTCGGGCTTAGTTCTTGATTCTCAGTCCAAGGTTCAGTGGAAAGGAAGTTCTGTACACTCCGAGGTGTTCATGTGATTTATCTGTACATGACAAAAAATCACATTTAGCTTCTTCATCTTTAAAATGGAAGAAAAATGCCTTTCTTGCCTGTGTGTCAGGGTTGTTAAGAGGTTGAAATGAAGTGAAAAAGTACACACAAAAACTTTGAAAAAAATACGAGATACTATACAAATGTAAGGTCATAATTTTAATTTGTTCTTACATGTGGAAGGATTGTCTATAAATATCCTGTCAGTCACTGTTTAAGAAATGTAGTCCTAAAAGTCTTAAGTCTTTAGAGGATTTAATTTTAACATTACTTGTAAGGAGAAGTTAAAATGGATAATAAAACACTTTTGATATGTACATGTTATTCGTTGTGACTCTGTGTCTGTTTTTGGGTAGTCCGTTCCGGATTACTAGTCTTGCCAGACTGAAGAAATTTGCCGGTTTCATCTACTGTTGATCAGTTGCTACCATCTCCATCCGGACATTCAATATTTGATAATCCTTCTAGTTCTTTTGTAGGTCACTCTGGTGCACATAAATACAAATTCAGCAAATATATAGCTGTAATTGTATGTATTGCTAGGTTATGAATGACTGGTAGTTTTAAAAATACGTATAAATTTAGCAAAATAAAACATTAGGGTATTCATTTTGAAGTGGCATTATTAGTGGATGTTAATTGTGGTTAAGAGATGGATAGATTGGAATTAATGCTCTCAATTCTCTTCTAGATACAGGAAAAGTTAGCTATAACTGCATTGCCTTTCCTAACAATATTTGAGTTATAAAAGAATTCAAACCAAGACTGTGTCGTTTCATTCTTTTCTTTTGGCCTAAGACCAAACCAGTGGAGCTTGGGGAAAGAATAATTTTTAAAAATTCAGTTTACTGTAGAATACAACTTTAACATTTTAATGCTGGCATAGCATCTGATACTTTTTGTTTTTTTGAAGTTGGCTTCAGCTGTTTTGGAGGCTGTGGAAAACAATACTCTAAGCATTGAACCGGTGGGATTGCAACCTGTTCGATTTGTGAAAGCTTCTGCAGTCGAATGTGGAGGACCAAAGTACGTTTTCAGAACCATGTCTTGTGGAAGACACTGAGTTTTTAAATTTTTATATGTTGTAATAAATTTAGTTTTTCTAGTTTTAAATGTGATTAAATTTCTTGTTACTTTTCTGTTTAGTTTGTGCAGCCTAAAGGCAAATCCTCAGACAGTATGAGATATGGCATTTCCAATTTAGCATCAATTTAGCCCTTTTAATTACAAATATATGTATTTTAGACCAGGTATTAGAAACATTTTTTAGACCATATGTTGTGACTAATTAGTTGATCATAAAATCAGCTTAGTGGGTCATAAGCAGAGTTTTTGTTTGTTATACATATACATACAGGTTTTGGTGTAAATGTATTTCTTCCTGAGGGTTGCCATTAAGAATAGTTTGGGAAGATAGTGAATTAGACCAGGTCTTATCAAGCATGCCAAAAAGATGCCAAAAAGACTTCTGTAATCCTCCTCTTTCATACTATCATATAAAGGATTCTCACCTTGGTAAATAACCAGTTCTGTCTTTCATACATGACAGATACTTGGCAATTACCAACCTTCAGAGGTAAGACTCCCACATTTCATAGCAGGGCAGATTTTCACTCTCCAGTCCCAGGATGAGGAAAGACTGAAACCAGTGGTTCCTAGGACCTCTGGCAAAGCTGTTTGCGAAGCGACTTGGAAAGATTTGGGGAAGCTGCTTAATTGGTGGTTAAGAACTAGATCTGTATAGGGGACCGGAAATCTGACAGAGCTGCTAGAAAGCAGTAACTGATTCCTGTTTGGGTCACTGAGAAGGTAGAAGAGAAAAGGGCCGCTTGAAATGAGCTAATAGGTCTGTGTGAAAGCCTGTGGGAGAAGTCACATTGTTCTTCCTGATTGCACAGTGTTCGTGTTCCGGTAGCTGTCTGTGGGGAGTACCTGGTCATGTGTTTGCTCTGTGAGCCAAACCTCCCACCACACTCCTTGCATGCTGTGACTATAGCAGAACGGCCTCTGAATCGTGGGGAAGGGATTTATATTCCTAAACTTTCCTCTTTCCATAAGCACCTGAGTATTTTTATCCTGATCATCAGTGATAACAGTTTTTGTGCTTTTAAGGTCTATGTTAATACCTTATTTTAAGTATGGTAGATACCAGTTTTTATTATAGAATTTTAAATTTCTACTTGCATCATATGTAACACATACTGTACTTGTGCAAATAACAAATGATGACAAATGAAGATACTAGTTAAGGTTGATTTATGTAGTAGTTTAGTAAAATAACATAGATTGGGCTTAGGGAACAGATTACATAGTTTAGGGATATTGTGCTTGTAGGAATGGGGTTAGATGCCACAGTGTTTGGAGTGCATGTTGTGTTGAGAAGCTTCTGGAAGATACTCTTCCCTGAAATGTGAAGTTCGGCCTTGGCCAAGGCTCTCATGGACTAGGTGGTGAAGAAAATCATGACATAAATGGCTCACGCTATAGGAACTTTGAGGAAGCCAAGACCTGTCCCATGGGTGGGGATCAGTGGTGGGAGATTTGATCTAGGTTTTTGAAGCAGGAGTGGAATTTGGGTAAAGAAGAGTACATATGACTGAAGACCTGGAAACAAGAAACTTTGTGTTCAGAAGATGGTGAATGTATTGGGGGGGGAAGGATGTGACAAATCTGAAGAGAACTTTGGAGAGGAAAAGATTCAGGTGGGGATAGTAAAAGGAAAGGAATTAAAGATGGTCGACTAGAAGAATGGTGTGATATTTTGGAGGTTAGTGGGAGGGGCTCTGGTTTGGGGAAGAAGACAGCAGGTCTAGGTTTAGACATATTGACATCCCCAACTGAAAATCAAGGTAAGGGTTTAAAATCTGGAGACTAGAGCTGCTAAGAGGTATTGAAGTGGAGCATGTTAACAGAATGCTGGCCTTGGACGTCAGAAGACTAGTCTTGAACCTTAGCTCATATAAAAGTGTGTTGGGTGTCACAGTTCAGAGATGGCTTTAGAAATGAGGTAAGAAATACTTTCATTATTTCAGAAGTTGATGCTTAAAACCACTTTAGCAAAGCCCTTTTAAAATTAGACAAAATACTAGACTAATAGGTATATGTTTCCAGAAGAGTAGTGTATATGTTGACTTCTATCAGTTAAATGCTTACTTTTCTTCTTATGTAAATTACACTTTTGGAAGTTCTAAAGTCTTCAACACTTGTGCAGTTTTTAAATTTCTTGATCTTCTCTCCTTCCTAAGCTAGTAGTTAGTGTTTTAAAAATATTGTTACAGCTCATTAAAGGAATTTTCTAAGAAAGGAACAATGAGGCAAACTTTCTTTGAAAATGTGTTAATTCTTTTGTGGTCAGAATGGCCGCCTCCAAAATTATCCTATTTACAAAGTTTCTTTTCTTAATATTTTATTTATTTTAAAGACAGAATGAGAGAGCATGTGAGCAGGGGGAGGGAGAAAGAGGAGGAGAGAATCTCAAGGAGACTGTACACTGAGCATGGAGCCCGACATTGGGCTCAATCTCACAACCCTGGGATCGTGACCTGAGCTGAAACTGAGTCAGACGATTTACCAAGACACCCAGCTGCCCCCCCAAATGATCCTATTTTAAATACACATTCTCTATTTGTTTTCTTAATATGGAGGCACATTTGTATCATATTCAAGTATAGCTGAAATTTAATGTTTATGCAACATTTTTCTTTATTATATAATTTATGATGTTATTTTTAAAAGATTTTATTTATTTGACATAGAGCACAAGCAGGGGGAGCAGCAGGCAGAGGGAGAGGGAGAAGCAGACTCCACACTGAGCAAGGAGGCTGATGTGAGACTCGATCCCAGGACCCTGGGATCATGACTTGAGCAAAGGCAGACACTTAACCACCTGAGGTACCCAGGTGTTAATAATGTTATTTAAAATGCTGTCCGCTGCTTCATTTTAGTTACAGCTGTACTTATTTTGCCTTGGTAGGGAGTGGTAGTTGTGATCAGCCATGGTCCTAGCTTAAGAGGGTAACACCTGGGCTGCTTCAAAGTATGCCCTGATAGACAAACCAGCATCACTGTATTGAGCAATAGAGTGACAGGTGGCTATCACTTAACCAACAGTCATTGAGGGTCTGGTGTGTACTAGGCACCTGCTTGGTGCCTGGCATTTAAAGTTGAATAGATAGAGTCTCTGCCCTCTAGAGTCTTACACAGCCTCATTGCAGCCAGAAAGCCATCATACGAAATCTGAGAGTCTGTAGTGTGTGCGAATAGAAAGGATGGTATTTCTGAGGATGCTGCACCCTTAGGTAACTATTGAGAGTCAGTACTTTTGGGAGGCAGCTTACTCCTTTGTATTTCTCAGGCCTGTGTGCATCCAGAATAGTGCCGGCTGCATACTAGGGCTCAGATATTTGTTGTCTTAGTGAACATGAAACGTCTATGGAAGATAGGAGCAAAATGCTTTCAACTTTAAAAAACTAAAATTTTGTCATTGTTTTACAGAAAATGTGCTCTAACTGGCCAGAGTAAGTCTTGTAAACACAGAATTAAATTAGGGGACTCAAGCAACTATTACTATATTTCTCCTTTTTGCAGATACAGGGTAAGTAACTGAACCATGAATTTTAATTAAGCCCACTTTGATATGAGATGTTTGACTGTTTATGACTTTTTTTCCTTTTGACCTAGATCACCTCTGTATGTAACTTTTTTACATACATTCGATATATTCAGCAGGGGCTCGTGAAACAGCAGGATGGTGAGTGTTCTTAATTGGTTACAAAATATTTACATAAACCTTCGGTGAAAAGTATAGGACATAATAGTAATCCTCAAATAAGCTTTATTATTGGTACATTGATATTGAATCTCTCATAGTTCTAATAAAATGTGTGGAGAATTTGGGAATTAATGTCTTTTAAAAAATATTTAACCCTTAGAACTGCCTAATTTTACTCTGATATGAGTTTTAAGCAGAATCTGTTATAACTCTAAGGGGGGTATATTGATAAACCAGATGGCAAATGTGAGGGGAGTAAAAAGCTTATTGAAATTATGCCTAAGAAATAAAAGTAAGTAAGCGCTAGACATGGTCAGATTTATTTTAATTGGTGAAAACCATGGGAATCTAATGATAATTTTTTCTATATTTTGTACTTTCACATGTGAATTAACAAAGCAGTCATGAAGATAGTTCTGAATGGAATAAAGTTTACTATATGCTGAATCAGCTGAAACATATAGATGATATATCCAAGAGAGCCAACCTCATGCAAGTGTTTTAATATTTTTAATTCAGTCTTTCATGATTACTGATGATTCTGTAGCCACATGGCTTAAATGCCAGGCATGAAAATGCATAAGGCCCAGCAACTCCAAAGCAGTGTTTCTTTTTTTTTTTTTTTTTTTAAAGATTTTATTTATTTATTTGACAGAGAGAGACAGTGAGAGAAGGAATATAAGCAGGGGGAGTTGGAGAGGGAGAAGCAGGCCTCCTGCCTTCCTGCTGAGCAGGGAGCCTAATGCGGGACTCGATCCCCGGACCCCGGGATCATGACCCGACCCCAAGGCAGACACCTAATGACTGAGCCACCCAGGTGCCCCCAAAGCAGTGTTTCTTGAGTACATGTGATTGTTTTAAAACAAGTAGCAGATACGAAGCTAGGGATAAGTCCGTACCCATTTTGAGTTTGAATTCAAGTTGTAGAAAATTTCCTATTCATATTTTTTTAGGGACTAAATATATTTTTATATTTAAAAATTAGAAGAAGCTTGCTATCTTTCAGTCATGTAAACCAGTGAATCTTAATTCTGTGGAAAGGTTAGTCATGCTAATAAAAACTTAATTTAGCCTTTCAAAGCTTTGGTATGAGAAGAATCCTATTGATTTAGAATCCCATATAATTAGATTTTAATGCCTAAAAGAATGAGGGTGAAACCTCTCATTAATGTTGAATTTCAATAGGCTGAGTAGCATAAAGTAGTGTTTAAAGTGTGCAATACTTTCTATGACTTTAATAAAATTGAAATATTTTTTAATACCTGTTGGTGGTTAATAGGATTTAAGCCACAGAACAGATGATTTATGTTAAGTTAAATTGTCAAGTGTGTTTTTTCTCCTTGTTAAAGTAAGTTTTGTAGGGAAGATAAAAGGTAATTTCCTTTGTGAAAATAGGGAGAAATTGCCATGAGTAGTAGTGGGGGTATAATGGTGATAAAAGTGGCCTCTTCTCTGGTTTCTCTCACTCTTCCAGGTCACGGTACTTGGTACATATATAATGTGTAGATTTGTAGCAATTAAATATTACTAATTTTAAAATATGTGTGTTATCTGTGCCTTGTATCAAACAGGATTTAGGGCAGCTAAATCTAATGCAGGGTTTCTTAAGCTTGGTACTACTAACATTTTGAGCTGAATAAGTCTTTGTCGTGGAGGTGGGGGCTATCTTGTACATTGTAGGATGTTTCCCATCATTGCTGAGCTTTACTCTGTAGATGCCAGTAATGAAAAATGTATACAGACATTTTGTCAAAGGTACTCTTGAGGACAAAATCTCCGCTTCTTGAAAACCGCTGATCTAAATCAGTCTCTAATCTGATGATATGTCAGAGGAAGACTTTTTGTCTGAAATATAAAGCCAATTTTTTTTCCCACTTACAGAGGGGGCTTGCCAAAGTAGGGAGAATTGAAATCTACAGTTAGTCTCTACATTTATTTTTATTTCTAATTTGAGCCATATACAAAACCTTTCTCTGTTATTTCTCAAAAAGAATGTTACTGAGTTCTCTGGACTGCCTTTTGTTTTCCTCTTTTTCCTGTTTTACTCTGTGTTGGTGTTAATAAATAGTGGAATGGCCAAGATGTCGCAGACTAAAGTAAGAAGATCCCTATATGAGAATAATTGAGGACTGGGTGTAATTCCTTATAGTGGCACCATGATTTCCATTTGCTCAGGGCACTGAAGCATCTGCCGTCTGTCAGACTAAAGTGGTCATTGACACATCTAACAAATAGTTGTAGCAAAACTGGTGAAAATTGCTCATTTATTGATAAGACTGGGATGCTCACAAATTTGTGAAAAAAATTTTTATGAATTAGTAGTAATATGGCAAGGCATTAGGTATGTCATTAGGAAATGCCCTGTTGGCATTTCAACTAAAGTTAAATTTTCAGTGAAACAGCTAAAAGGTAATTAAGATGTTATTTTATGATTTTTACATGTCTCCTTTTCTATTTGTATAGTTGATCAGATGTTTTGGGAAGTTATGCAGTTGAGAAAAGAGATGTCATTGGCAAAGCTGGGCTATTTCAAAGAGGAACTCTGATGCTCTGCCTGGGACCATGCATGAACCTCCCTGAACACCTGGAAAATGGCTGCATATTTTTATGGTTACTTGATATTTATTTCCAAGGAGTGGGCCCAAGACTTTTTCCCTCTTTTGCAGATTACACTAAGAAGTACTGTGATTTCTTTTAAATTGACCTATGCTGTGTCTGCTTACTCTTTAGTTGAACATACTATAAAGAATTACAGGTGTACTAGTGATTGTAATTTATAGTTGCAAAAAAAAGCTAAATAAATAAAATACATCAACGTTAGATTGAATATGTTTTTGCTTTCTCTTCTAGCTCTGACATGGCATGTAGGGTAAGCTGAATGCATTGAATTGTAGCTTTCAAACTGCATAGCAGCCTATGAGTGGCGAGGAAGAAGGCTAAGTGGACAGAATTAGCTCTGTCCCCCCACAAGAATGGGTTTATTTCTATCTGTTTTGTAGATTGGGCTTCAAAGAAGGATTTTATTTAAAGAAGGCAAAAAGAAGAAATCAGCACCTACCCTCTCCATCTAGAGAATGCTACTGTTAGTATTTCTGAAGAAGAGTCTTCCAGCTTTCAATATTTTCTACCTACATATGCATATTTCTGAAACAAAGACTTTCTTCTTTAACTTAAATAAGTTAAATATTTTTTCTACATGTCTTTAATCACTATATGGTTTTGACTGTAGGATGTTAATATACTTTGTTTTGAAATGAGCTTAAAACATTTTTTTCATATCATAATGCTGTGATGAATATCCTTATGCATACTTCTTTGCACATTGTTGGGTTGTTTCCTTCATATAGACTTGCCTAGAAGTGAAATTGTTGAGTCAAGCTATATGTGTATTTTAAAATATTTGATCTGCTTTGCCAAATTGCCCTCTACAGAAGTTGAACAAATTTATTTTTTACAGCAGCATTTTATGAGAGACCTAGTTTTCTGAAGATGGCATTGTTTTCAATCCTATCCTCAAAGATTTGGTCACCCTTACCTGTAGAAGATTCAATCACCAGGATGGGTAGGAGTCTACAGATAAAAGGATATTTGAGAATGGTATGGTGTGGTAGAAACTATCACTACCATACCAAGCTGAGGAATCTGAAATTGAACATGAAAAGAACTTTGAAACTAGAATTTTATGTCCTGATAAATAGTTATTCAAATGTGAGGGCATAATAAACATGTTTTCAGACCTTCAAAACTTCAGAAAATTTTCCATACAAAGATGCAAATTAAAAACACTTTTGGAGAAAGTACCTAAGTGTGAATAGAAACAAATCCAAAAGAGGCTGCAAGAGATTTGGGGAAAAAGAGATCCTTAAGGAGATTGTTGATGACTTTAAAAGAATCAAAGGTAAGGGTAAAGAAAATAATAAAGTATATAACAATCTAGAATTAAAATTCTTTACAATGTCAAACATTGGCAATGGGAGGAGACCATAGATTGTGTGGGTAAAGTTCCAGTCTTGTTAGATGGAAGAGATACCAATTAATTGTGAAGGACCAAAGGAAAAAAGACCAAGTAGAGAAATGAATAGTGTGATATGGAATAATATATTTATAATATATAAAGCATAAGGACATGGAAAGGTTAAAATACAAGTATAACTTGTTAAAATACAAGTTATATAACTTGTTTAAAACAAGTTAAAATACAAGTATAACTACACTGTAACACATTTTCTGAAAAACAAATGGATAGAAACACTCAAATACAGAGAATAAACTGGTGGTTGCTAGAGGGGAGGGGGGTGGGCATCAGACAAAATAGATGAGGGGGATTAAGAAGCACAAACTTAGAGTTGTGAAATAATTCACAGGGATGAAAAGTATAGCGTAGAGAATATAGTTGATATAACTTTGGTGACAGTGACTATACTTAATGTGGGCATTGCATAATATATGGAATTGTTGAATTACTGTTTGTACATCTGAAACTAATATGTCACCTATACTTTGATTTTAAAAAAGAGAGAAAGTAGTGCTTCAAGGGAAATTTTGTAGCTTTAAATCTTTTTTTTTTTTTATTTAAAATTAGTTTGCCAACATACATCATTAGTTTCAGATGTAGTGTTCAGTAATTTATCAGGTGATGGGCATTAAGGAGGGCATGTCATGTGGTGAGCACTGGGTGTGATATGCAGCTTTAAATCATATTTTTTAAGTGAACTGTGTTCAATTAAATTACAGAAGGACAAGATAAAAGTAAAGGAAAGAGATAACAGAAATAGCAAGGATGCAATAGAGGATCAACAAAGCTGTGTGTTGACTGAAAAGATGAACAAAATAGACAAAATTTTCTATCAAGTTACCATGGAGAAAAAGAGAAACTATACAAATAGCCCATACAAGGAGTGAAAATTATGTCATTATAGATACTGCAGATACTAAACATGAATATATGAACATCCCAATATATTTGAAAATTTAAGCAAAAGGGTAAAATTCCTAGAAATGTTGTATTTTGATTAAAAAGAAATCAAAAGCCTGAGCAGTACTATTACTATTCAAGGAGAGGCATAGTTAAAAATCTCACAAATAAAACTCTAGGTATAGACAACTTTAACAAACTTTAAAGAATGAGCTATTCTAATCTTACATGTATTCTGGAGAATAGAATTACTATGTTTCATACATCAAAAACCAGTATAACCTTGATAGCAAAACCAGATGGGGACAGTCCATACAGGTAAAAGAAAGAAAGATTATAGGTCTATTTTGTCATGGGTAGAAATGCAAAAGCAAACAATATGACACACTGACCAAGTGGCGTTTATCCCAGGAATGCAAAATGGTATATTAGAGGGGCATCTGACTGGCCCAGTCAGTAGAACATGTGATTCTTGATCTCAGGGTCATGGTCATGAGTTTGAGTCCCACAGTGGATGTAGAGATTACTTGAACTTTTTTTTTAAATGGTATATTAGAAAATGTATAAATCTAATTCACATTTACAGAATAAAAGTGAACACTGAAGAAAAAATTAAAAAGAAAAGTGAAAAACCATCCAATCAATAGATGCAGAAAAACATTCTGTAATTTTTTCAGCTTGATAAAGAGTATCTTAAAAAATCTTATAGTAAACATGATCCTAAGGTGGGAAATGTTAGAAGCATTTTCTTTAAAATCAACAATGGAACAAAGATGACTACTGTACTCACTCATATTCAAAATTGTACTGTAAGTGTTAGTGCAGCAAGATGAGGAAAATATACAGTGGTTGGGAAGGAAAAAATAAGAATTATGCTATGATTGTCTACATAGAAAAGTCTCCCATCAAATTATTAGACACAATTGGAGAGTTTAGTAAGGTGGGTAAATACAGGATCGATATATATTTGTGAATTGTACATATATGCAGCCACAGTTAGAAAATAAGATTTTTTTAAAAATTTCTTTTCAGCGTAACATTGTTAATTCATTGTTAATGCACCACACCCAGTGCTCCATGCAATATGTGCCCTCCATAATACCCACCACCTGGCTCCCCCCACCCCCCCCCCCCCCCCCCCTTCAAAACCCTCACATTGTTTTTCAGAGTCCATAGTCTCTCATGGTTCATCTCCCCTTCCAATTTCCCTCAACTCCCTTCTCTTCTCCATCTCCCTGTGTAACAACTGCAAAAAGAATTCTGAAGTACCTAGTGAGAAATCTAACCAAAGATGTGCCAGGTCTGTGGAGGAAAAGTTACAAAACTTAATTTAAAAAAGCATTGAAAAGGACTAGAGTGATCTATGTTCATGAGTAGAAGGACAATATTTTTTAAGAAAATGAATGTGTAGATTTAATGCATCTCCAAACTAAATCCCAAAATTTCTGCTGGAATTGACAAACTGATCAAAATTTGTGTGGCAGAGTCAAGAATGAAGAATGACCAAGGCACTTCTGAAGGACAAGAAAGGAGGAAGAATTCATCCTACCAGAAGGACATTTTATGAAGCGGAAGTATTTAAGAAAGTGGGACACGGTGCAGAAATAGAGAAAATGGCCAATGGATAGAATAGAGAGCTCCAAAGTAGACCCACATGTATTTGTAAATTTCGTATTGACCAAGAAGATGGTAGATCAGTGATAGGACTTATAATTAAATGGAGCTGGCAAAAAGACAAAGGAATGTATGAAATTGGATATTTTCCTTACACCATACAAAAAAAAACAACTGTTTAAATGTCCGGAAACTGTAGAACTTCTGATGTAGAAAATAGAGTTGAAATTATAGGTGAAATATATTTTGAAAATACAGGTGGATACCTTCCTGATCTTCTAAAAACTTCTTTTTTTTTGTTTTTAAAGATTTTATTTATTTGACAGAGATCACAAGTAGGCAGAGAGGCAGGCAGAGAGAGGGGGAAGCAGGCTCCCCGCTGATCAGAGAGCCTGATGCAGCGCTCGATCCCAGGACTCTGGGATCATGACCTGAGCCGAAGGCAGAGGCTTAACCACTGAGCCACCCAGGCGCCCCTTCTAAGAACTTCTTAAACTGAAAGCAGAAGAAACTATAGAAGATGGCCATGAAAGGAAGTTGTGCTATGTTATAAATTGTTAATTTAGAAATTTTGTTCATCAAAAGGCATGTTAAAGCCAGACTACAAGCTATGAGAAGATACTTGAAAAACTCATAACCAAGAATAGATTAGTATCAAGAATATATACAGAAATTCCACATATCAAAAAGAAAAAAAAAAAAAAAAGAACAACAGGAGATGGCTGGAACAGGTCCTCCACAGAGTTGGAAATTCCTGTGGGCTAATAAACTATTAAATGGTCTTCATTTACTAACAGAGAAAGCAAATCAAGACCACAGTGACAGGTTTAAATTCAACTGGCAAAAATTAAGCCCGATGAAGTCAAATGGAGAGAATTTCAGTAGGATTACTCATTAATTGCTGGTGGAAATGCCAAATGGTACACCTACTGTGAAAATTCGTTTGAAAAGTTGAACATTCCCCATGGCCCACCAACTCAGCTTGTAGGCATATACTCGAGAAGGACTTGTACAAAGTGCCCTGGAATGCATCTGTAAGAATGTTTTGGAAAAAATCCAAATGTCCATCTAACAGGAGGGTAAAGTGTTGTGCGCTCACATAAGGGACTATCTATCACATGGCAGGCAAAAATGATTGAACATGGGCTACATGCAAAGAAGCAACTTAATATAACACAGATTGGAAAAGCAAAATTGCTCAGAAGACTGGATAACAATACTTTTCCCATAAAGTTCAAAAACCAAAACTCAACAATTGTTTAAGCATGTATATATATAGAACAAAACTATC